AATCTGCTGTATTGTGGTTCCAGCTACCTCTCTCCAATCCAAAAGGCTAACAGGGAGAATAAAGTAATCAAAAACACTTCTTGTCGCCTGTGGTACTACTAGCAAGCTAGAGACAATTATAGAGTGTGTGCATGTGTGAGAGAGAGGAAAATAGAATATCAAGGATACCTAGTCTGTAACTTATCGGACAATATATCATTATTTTGTTATTTCAAAAACTCCAGTGTCTAAATTGGAGCCAAATCTCAAACACGTCGAATTAGTATTAATTCCATATTTCTGGGTTTGAGGTCATTCCAAGGTCATACTATGTTACATGGTTGGATTCGTTTGGATGCCGGCTACAATGTGCAAGGAGAAAAAATGTGTCATTCCATTTAAAAAAATTTTGATAACCTTGAAAAAACTGATAAAAAATGAAAAAAAAAAATATTATGATAGCCATGGGCGCCCTTCCGAATCATTTAAACTCCGATATTTGCGAACTCCGTATCTTTAAATCCAATAAAGTTATTTAGGTGTTCTGTTTCTCGCGCCTCACCCTGTATATACTATATAAATATATTTTAATGCGATGCACGTGAAGGTGTGTCTATTGAACGTCTCGTATGCTTGAGGTGTGTCCTATCGTACTATATTGACCGATTTACGTAGTATTAATTAACTCGTTGATAAAAAAAATAATAATATAATCGGAATCAATTTTTTTTACCAATGAATTACAGCTGTATTGAGACGATATGACTCTTGTAGATCACGGGTCGGACGTTAAATAGCGAAAATAAGATTTTGAAATTTATCTATGATCTTTGTGAACGATAATACCTCATAAGATTTAGATTCGTAATAAACGGCGACTGCTTGTCTGGTGATGATTATTTACAGGTGGCTGACCTTCCGGAAGATGATGTCTTACTGTCATAATGGAATTGTAATGTAAATTCGAGTCGTTGTTAATTAAAGGAAGAAACCTTCGTACTTGGCTGTTGTGTTGATAAGAAAGATAGTGAATGGCTGCTATGTTTCTAGTGTTATGATATGATAATAAAAGTGGTCCTGTTCAGTTATTAGTTATCACGTTGCCGTAAACGTGATTAGTATAAAATAATCACTAGCAGAAAAGTCCTCATGTTTTTCTTCAAGGGGAAATAAAGATAGTCTGACGTCCAAGTCGATCAACCAGGAATCGGAATCCTCCTTAGGTGAGTCTCACGAAACCTCATGCTTTCTTGCATCAGCCAAGGACCCAACCTCTTTTTCACATCGCAAATGCCGCAAACAAGGTGCGCGGGACCGGTAGATGATGCAAAATACCGTCTCGATTACTATTCCACCCGATTATTAAAATTCGATTGGCCGAGACACCATGATTAGAATGAAACACGTGGACGTGCATTGCCATAATCGAGTTTTCATTATTAACGAGTGACATTAGAAATCTTACGCAATTATTATTATCTACTACATCGACTTTGAAATCGTATCAATTATTGTTGCCTGTTTCCTGGAACTGAATTTAAATCCATTGAAAGTTACGCAAAACGTAACGGAAACTGATTTCGCAATAACAATTTTGAGATCGTGTTACGTTTTAGAACTTGTAGGTTATGAAACTTTGTGTTAACAATTACCTTGGTGCTTAGTTATAAATGTAAATTATACAGTTTAATGAATCACTTTGGAATTTAAAAAAAAGACTTTCTTAAATCTTAACCACGGAGAATCACGAAAGACTCAAAAACAATGCGGTAGTGGTTTTCGATATTACAGTCATCTTTTTACTAGACAACGTCGAATATTAATTTAACACCAATGTTAAATGCTTCTTCGATACGAAAGTTTTGTTTCGGCATTACATATTTCCGGGGGAAATATTATCCTGTTATTTACTACGTCAATATGATAGCTTCGGCCCTTTTGACCTGCACTGCTGATATTTTCACAAGGTCGTATCAATATGGCGAAGGTTATAGACTTGAGTGTGGATCATACTCGCTAATTCAAACCAATACGACATGCGTATTAGCATTCTTATGCTTTCTTTTGTTATAAGTGTGTCTCACGATAGGCGTTTCAGACTGTGTGTCGAGACGTTAGTACGTCAAATGTTACACGATTAACAGTTGGCAATGTGTAAATACAATACGATGCGTTCCTTGAACTGCGAAAAAGATAATGTTACTGATACTCTTGACTGTACATACCAGTGGGTTTAAAGAATATCGTGGATTATATTAATAATAAGACATCTAAGAATAGGCATAATTTATTGTATAAACTCTATAGCTGAGAAAAATATACTTACAATGTATTTTTGGGGCGTACATACATAACAGACAACACGACCAGTCCAAAAATATTAAAGTACTAAATCCTTTGAGAGTGTAAAATCTTTGAAAATGCAATAACAGCGTATAGTAATTATGTAGGAGAACGATTCCCCATAGAAAGAAAGAGTGCTTTCGCAATGGCTACTCTTGACTCGATGTCCTACGTCTTTTTGCGAAAGATACTTTGGCTGAGGACTATGTTGCACACTCTGTGCCATATAATTCAAAAAATACCAAAGATGGCGCCAGTTTAGTCTTACTTAGCATGGAATTTCTTGTTAGAGTCAGCAGCCATATCAGAAAGCAATTGAGAGGGCTTGAAAGGATCTCCGTAATGGTTTTGGAATTCTTCCATCTTCCTGACAAGTTTCTGAGCTCCATACCAATCGATCCAGCGGAAAGGTCCGCCAGTAAATGGCGGGAAGCCGAGACCGAAAACGGCACCAATATCTCCTTCGAGCTGATCAAGAAAGAATATAAATTAATGTATCCGTGGATTAATGCAATATATTATTCATGGTCGAAGGATACTCACAGGATTAGCTAGGATACCTTCTTCAAGGCATAGCACAGCTTCATTTACAAAACGAGATACCATCCGAAGTTGACGATCTTCATCAGAGGTACTGCCTTTCGGTTCCAAACTGTACTTCTTCAAGAGATCCAAAGCTGCGAGATTTACATCTCTGTGTTTAGATCCCTTCTCGTACACGAATATACCCTTGCCCGACTTGCGACCTACAGTTAACGAATATTTCAATTTTCAAGAAACCAAAGCGAGTACAAGTATGACAATCAGTCATAACTAGAAAGAATTTAATTACCAAGGAATCCAGACTTCACCATGTCACGAAAAATGTCTGGATTTCCTCCAGCAAATCTGGAGCCAAAGGCTTTGTATAAGTCAACGCTAATATGAGAAGCGACGTCGATGCCGACTTCGTCGCATAGAGTAGCTACCCCTACCGGAAAGCCGAACTTTTTACTTATTTTGTCCAAGTCAGCAGGATCTACACCTTCCTATTTATGAAGGAAGTATATTAAATGATCACAGATTCGATTGATCTTCTCCAAAAACAACGCATTAACCTTACCTGCAGCAATCTAAGACACTCGGATGACATGGCACTAAGGATTCTCGTAGTGTAAAATCCAGGACCATCTCCTACAGTAATAACAATCTTCCCTTGTTTAAGTCCAACGTCAACAGCGGATCTGATCGTTTCATCAGATGTACCCTTATGAGTGATTATTTCTAGCAGTTGCATTTTGTCTACTGGAGAAAAGTAATGCATTCCAATCACCTAGAATTTAATAAGAAATTAGCAATGACTCGTAACGAAATATATAACATTAAAAATTATTTCTTTGCATTTTATAATTCCTACCTTATCTGGACGACTACTTCCCGCAGCGATTTTTGTAATGGGAATGGCAGATGTGTTCGTTGCTATAATACAGTGCTGCGGTGTATTAGCTTCAATCTCTTTAATGACCTTATGTTTTATAGAAATGTCTTCAAAGACGGCTTCAATTACAATATCAGCCTTTTTAAAGGAATCGTATGACAACGTACGCGTAAGATTCGCTAGATACTTGTCCTTTTCAAGGCTATACGATAAGAAAAGGTTACATTACTCAATAGTGTATTTCATTCTTTATAAGATTAAGACGTTTTAACTGAGCAAACCTGCTTATTCTTTTCCTCTTGACAGCATTTCCTAAGCCAGTCTGAATTTGACCTACCCCTCTGTATAACCCAGCTTCGTTCGTATCTTTTAAAATTACATCGTATCCTTTATCAATGCTCACATGAGCAATACCTGCACCCATTAAACCAGCTCCAAGAACAGCCACCGTTCTGTACGAAGTAAAAGAAATGAATATGATATTGTTTAATCGATAAAGGTGTCTAGTGTAAACCTTACTTGATTTGGCTCTTGGGAGGACCAAAACGGTTTTTCTTGCAAGCAGTTTGTCCAAAGAAAAGACTAACTAAACCTTTGCATTGAGGAGTTACTGCCAATTCACCAAATGCACGAGCTTCCGCTTCGTAACCAGCTGCTGGTCCTTTATCCAATCCAATACGAAGTACTTCAAGAATTTTCAAAGGAGCTGGATAAAGCCCACCTGATGCTTTCATTACCTTAGCTTTAGCTTTCTTGAATACTTGATCTTTTACAAAATCAATAGTTAATGCATAGTTCATAATTTTTTCTCCCAAAGACTTTGGACTGCGTTCAATCTTTAATTTTCCACTAGCAATATCTTTGGCTGCTTGAATAGCTATTTCTTCCAGGTATCTTCTTGTACTGATCACGAAATTAGGATATTAATCACTGATTCCAAATTGTGGTACTTATTAGTGCTGTTGAGATTCTTACTTTTCTTCGGGAGATCCAACTCCTGGCCCTAAACGATTGACCAAGAGGTCAACAATTCCAAATTTTTTTGCTTTATCCGCCTTTATAGTTTTTCCTGTGAGAGTCATATCTAGAACATTTGGGAGGCTAGTTACTTTTGGTAACCTTTGAGTTCCTCCAGCACCAGGTAAAAGACCCAACATTACTTCTGGTAAACCGAGACCAGTTTTTTTATCTTTCACTGCAATGCGATAATGACAAGCTAGTGCCACCTATCAGGAACAGTATCATTTTAATTTAATTGCACTGTGATATTTGATATTCTCTTTAAATGTGGTTATTAAAAAACACACGCAAAATATTCTACCTCAAGACCACCTCCTAGACAGGAACCCTGAATAGCTGCTATTATTGGCTTTTTACTTCCTGCAATAGTATTTAGAATGTTTTGACCATTTTTGGATATTTGGTAGCCAGTGTCTTGATTCTTTACATCTTGGATCATTGTGATGTCTGCACCAGCAATAAATGCTCCAGGTTTCCCACTAATTAATACAGCAGAATTTACTGCAGGATTTGCCTCAATATCCTTTAACACCTGTACGATCTCATTCATAACTTCTTGATTTAAAGAATTAACCTATGTAAAGAATCAACAATAATTTTTCAATTACTTACATATATTAATTTATGTAACATAAAATTCTGATAACATCAGAAAATAACAATTTTATACCTTGACTCCTGGAGAGTCGATTGTAACTATAGCTACATCCTGTACCACTTTGCATTTAAAATGTTTTCGGTCAGAAATAGTAGCAAGTGTTCTAAGTGGTTGATAAAGCGCTGAAACAATTATAATAAATACAGTTTCTAATATATAAAAAAAAACCATACAACAATCATCCAGTAATTTCAACTCCATAAGCAAGATAAAGGAAATTCGTTAAAAGGTTGAAAAAAATCTTAACATGCATGTACAGCACATATCAATCTTTATAATTAGTGGAAGAAATTATTATATTAAATATATATATCGAAGATCAGGTTCAATATGTAGATCCTAGACACACAGCAATATATATATTTTTATAACCAGAATAGACTTTGAGTTTGAGGAGCAAAGGTTACTCTGAGCTAAGCAAAGACCTATCTAAATGGCAGGGTAACCGTCTTTAGGCCAATACTAACGGAGGATTTTTTCATGTACCTATGGTAATAATTAACTGAAGATTACCTGCTCTAGTAATAAAATTCGTATTCGTACGTGAGAAACGGGCAAGTGCCCCAACTAATCGGCAACTCGCCATTCTTTACGAGGTTTAGACACAAGAAATTGACCCTCGTTCACTGTGCGTGGTTTACCAGTGATGGACACAGCCGACGCAGCGCAACCTCAGAAGCCACAAATTCTACACGTACGCTGTGTATGGCAATTCACACACTAACCAGCCACAACACGCATGCGTTCAAAATGGGCACAGTAGTAGGCAACTATATATACGTTTCTCTCTGTTGAACTTATGTGCATTCATCTTTCCTTTTTTTTTCAAGACTTTGACCTCATCTCATATTTCGGTAAATCTACCTACGAATCGTTTATCTGCTTACTAAACCAACTGGAAGCCAGTCATTCCCTATAATTAGAGATTCTTGTAAAAATTTGATTAGTTTAAACGTTAATTGTTTTGTGTCAAATAAATCTACTTGGACTTTAGATAAAGACAACATATATTTTTGTGTATTTCTGTGAAATTATATAATTTTCGATATTGTTATTTAATGTATTTTTGAACATTACACGATATTGATATTTGTACTGTTATACATTGTTTGAGAGGATTTAAATACAATAAACAACAAACATGCAGTCGACCAATGCGCCATCTTTGAAACAGGTGTTTGGTGGGATGCAACCTATCGCGCAGTTTGTCAGATCTGATTGGGTCTAATCAGGTCTAATCGGCATTTCTTATCCTTATGTTGGAACTAGATAACAGGCAAAGAAATAAAGGAAATATATACATACGAAATAATTTTTCAATCATTGAAACAAATGAAATTACAAAAAGAACTTGGAAGGATTGTATCTGATTGTATCATTTGACATTTGGAAGTTCTAGGCAATTTCAAAAAATTCTTGTAATGTATTAATATTGATTGAAAACACATTTTTAAAGAAATGATTACCACAAAATATCACACGTACAAACAGTATGTGCTTGTACCCGTTCTAGCTATGCTGGGCCTTTTGGTCTTTTGCGAGTACCTAATATATTATGTGGTACTTTTTCAGGTAAGTCCATTCATTTTGTTGCTGCTCATCAACCTCTAACATATTTATTGTTCTTTTTTAATAGTGTAAATGGCCTGTACTGGATCCCAACAAAATAGATAGATCCATATCACCACCAACTGTCAATGAAAGACCTGTACGTGCTATGTTTTTAGCTGATACACATTTATTAGGTTCTCGTAAAGGTCATTGGTTTGATAAACTTAGAAGGTACATGCAGAATATAAGTTAAACCAGAGAATTGTAAAGGAAGTAATATTGGTAAATAAAGTAAAATTATACTGACTCTTCCAGGGAATGGCAAATGTATAGAACATTTCAAACTGTTATGAAAATTCATAAGCCAGATGTAGTATTTGTATTAGGTATGTGACACAATAGTTTCATCACTGATATTGAAGTTATAAAAGAACTATTTCAGGGGATGTATTTGACGAGGGACAATGGTGTAGCTCCGCAGAATTCGATTACTATGTGCGTAGATTCCATTCACTCTTTTCAGTACCAAAAAATTCACATCTGTATGTCATAGCTGGAAATCATGATATAGGTTTCCATCATGGTATGCCATATTATGTTAATCCCATTTATGAATAACAATAGATATATGATGTTAAAAACTTTTTCAGTGATAACCCCATACCTTAATGAAAGATTTGTAAAAGGCATGAAGTCACCCAATCTACGAAGAATCAGTATTAGAGGAAACCATTTTGTATTACTTAACAGTATGGCTCTAGAAGGTGATGGATGTTTTCTTTGTAGACCTACCGAAGTAGCATTAAACAAAATTGCTAGTGAGTCTTATATAAATTTAAATAGAAGACAACTAGATGTAACAAAGGAAGAGATTCATTACTCAACTACTTATTTTTTCTAGAACACTTGAGGTGTTCAAAGGGAGTAGGTAGTGATTGTTCTGAAAGTAATGCAATTAAAACTTACAGTAGACCAATTCTTCTACAAGTAAGTCAATCAATACAAAAATGGATGATGAATTGAATAAGTATCATATTAGGTCAAATTTGTATAAGAATAATCTTATTTTAGCATTATCCAATGTACAGAGAATCAGATGAAATGTGTAATGAATGGAACCCAGCGCCAGATGACATAAAGGATATTAAGTTTAGAGAACGATGGGAATGTTTGTCTAAAGAGGCATCAGAACAAGTGTGTATCAGATAAGAGTAACAATGATATCTGTTTATAAATATTAACAGATGTAAATTATTTCTTGTAGCTGCTAGATATTTTGTCACCAAGGCTCGTGATCGATGGACACACACATCACGGTTGTAAGCGAATACACAGAGATAATATATTAGAAGTCACAGTTCCATCTTTTAGTTGGCGCAATAAAGCTAATCCATCATTCTTATTGGTAAATATATTTCTGTTTAATTGTAATAATCGAATACTTTCAGGTAAGCGTTTTAAAAACTGTTTTACAGGGTGCCTTTACACCAAATAATTATGCATTATCCATATGTTATATGCCTGTAGAATCTACTGTTATTCGAATTTATGTGTTTGGTGTCATTTGCATTCTTCTCTATCTGGTATATAAAATCAGAAGACAGAGATATTCTCGACATCATTTCCCAAAGCTTCATTGATCTTATGGGACTCAATGTCTTTCCATACCTGCTTTGATAGAATATAGAGAAGCTCAATGTAGTAAGGAAAACGACTAGGTATGAATTGTATATGTGGATTGATTATATAAATTCTATTCTTGACTACACTATAAATATCAAATATTTGCCTTAGAAACATTTGTGTATAACATTATGCCACTGACATAGTGGCTGATCAAGAGGAAGATTGCTCATCATTTACAGTATATAATTTGATATTAAAGAAACATAAGATAGAAGTGTTCTCTTATACAAGTGTCTTGTGAACGTAGAAAGTATCCGTTAAATAAATAACTATGCGCGCATCACTCCTATAACTAAACAACGGTCTTTTTTATCATGTAAATGTAACATATAAACAATTTGATTTTTTAAAATGATGAATTGTCTACTGCATTATTTTTCTCAAAATAGCGAGATGACATTTAGGGAGGAATTCTAAAAACTTTGGATACTGTATTATCAATTATACATCGTTATGCATTGCGCGCCTCTTAACAATCATTTTCCACCAAAATTAACTGTTATCATCCGTATCGTTAGAATAAAATAAATTATTTATACACTAATTATTAATACCTATAATATCATACATTGACAACCGTAAGTGTAAGGAAATATTCCACTTTGATGGCCGGGATTTTAACTAATTTTCATGATTCTTTTTCAGTAAGAAGAATATTATTACAAACTTTTTTGATTAAAAAATACATTATCTTAGATTACAAAAACAGTTGTTTTTAATTTTTTTTAGTGCATTTCATTAAGGGTTAAAGTCGCGGATATGATTCAGCCTCGTAGAATCGTTGAGTACACTCAACGGTAGAATTATCTGTGACCACGATCTTGCATACGATTATTAGGACCAGTTACTGGCACATGTCCCCTATTGGGGATACAGCCATAAGGAAAGGAAGGAAGGAAGGATCTTGCATACAGGTCTGGGCACTTCCCTATCCTCACCACGTTGTAGATCGTAACCATAACGTGGACAATTTTGTCCGCAAGCGCTAGTGTCGAAAAGGCCAGCGCATGCGCATCCGTAAATTCACTGCAACCTCTTTTCTCTGATTCAAAAGGAAAGTTACACAAAAAACCGATGCGATGCCAATTAAATAAAATTTAACAATCTAATTTTAAAGTTAGACGAATAAAGAATTGATGATTTAAAAAACTGAAGTTAAATGGACCTGAAAGTTAGAATAATATTAGAGAATATTGCGACATGTATTGGGTGTTAGCCCAATGTAATGGCAACCAAACACAAACAGCGCAAGAATATGCAATTAGGTACCCTAATCGGCGACATCCTGATAAAAATGTTACGTACTCTACAATATTTACTGTGTCACAATAATCATTATCATCGAAAATGTATGTAATTGTTGCAGATTAGCATGTCCAGATCCAAGCTCGGTCATGCGTAGATCAAAATCGGTCCTTTTCAAGGCCACTCAAAACGTAATACGTTGGTATAACTATCTTGTCACATTAAAGGAATAGACATTAAAAGGAATAAAGGGTATCTTCTGAAATTCACTGACATTAAAGCGAGCGATTGTATTCACTCAATTACATACAGATAAACAGGGACACTACGACGATACTCTTAGTGTTATTGGCCTAGTGTAAGCAGGTCTTGCGCGCTGACTCGCGACGTCATCTACGCTCCGTTTAAACGCGCTCTGATTGGTCGCATTACTGCAACTTCAACCTTGATTATCTCGAAATTTTGATATATGAAATAAAAAATGAAAATATAAGTATTCATTAGAATTTGACAAGGAATGCAACGATGTTACTACAGTGCGTTTCATAACGAACACCCTGTATATTACACATAACAAAGCTGCAAGTACGTATTCAAGGAAAAGATAACTGCGCACGCGCAGTGCTACCACGTGATTCGCTCTTTCAACACTAACGCCTCTTGCGGCAGTGGCCACCTTATTGTCACGCGTTTTTCGCCTAAAAGCCCAGACCCACGGTCTTACATACAGGTCATGATACAGGTCTTGAAACTTCCTTGAATTTCAGTGGTGGGGGTATGGTCGTTTACTGAGATTGAATTTAATTTCAAACAGCGTCGCTGTTATCGGGTACCGCAGATAAACATAACCTGCAATCGTGCAGACGGTTAACAAAAGCTCGCGATATTCATGTCGAATACATATTGAATAAGTAGTGTAAATATACTATAGTAGTAGTGTAAATATGTCAAAGCGTCACTATCTGTCTCGAATACCTGCAATGCTGCGAAAATTGAAATAAAATAGATAAAATAGAAAGAATGATTTTTATTTTACCTACCTACGTTTTATAGTGATCGAAAAACAAACCTGTGAAAATTGGAAAAAAGCAATAGTTGATGACTATCCGTACTTACCTGCATCAAAAACTTAAAATTTGCAAAAACAAATAATAAGAATTTGGAAAAATTGAAACCGAGAAAATAAAAGTTTCAAAATCATTCATGTTTTTCGCATTTGTTTGAATTTAGATTAATTAAGATTTTATTGGGATTATAGGTATATGTATTTCATCACATCGAGTAAGTCTATCGGCATTTACGCTTTTTGCTAGACATTATAAATTGTTTCGCTTAGCTACTTACAGTCACATTCAAGCCATGCCCCGTGGAAACCACGAATAGGACAGAGATGGGGTAATAGTCCCACCCCCGCGTCCCTCGTCGATACGATTACCCGATCACAGCGACTCTATGCAGCTATTCGGAATGGCATCGCTAAGCGACCCACCCCCCACCACCAGAGTTTCAAGAACTGTATGTAAGACCGTGCCCACCTGTATACAAGACTGTGTCTGCACACACAAAGTGGTGGGAAATGCTTGATTGGTTAAGTATAATTTTCACCCCTAATAGAATTAGCAGTTTAAATTGAAAAATAACAAAATGGCGCCCAGTGAGGATAAAAGTATCCAAGTTTTCCCTTTTTAATAAATTTTCAATAAAAAATAGGAAAATATTAAGATAAAAATTTAATTCTGCCACGGAATAGAACCAGTGAGCTGTGGAAGTAGTTCATAAAAGTTTGAGCTCAATCGGATGGACAGATCTTTTACCTACGCTGGATAAATTTATCTTTTGAAATTGTATTTATATTTAATCGATGCCAGGTCCACATAAGACTCCTTTGGCTTATACATTTTTAAAATTTATTTTCTCGGACTCTATCAAAAAGCAAAAAATTATTTTTTTAATTTCAAAGTGGAATACTCTCTTAATGCAATAATTTCTTTTATCGAGATTCTAATATTTTAATATAAAAAGAAGAACGGACTCGAGGCAATGTTTATCTTTTCTTATGATTTAATTGTTTTAAGAGTCAAGTGAATAACTTCTGTGTCAGTTGACCACAAGGATCATAAGTACTTATTGCTTGACACTCTGTTATCGGGACAATTGAGATACTTTAAACTAAATATGCTTTCTTCCCTTGTTTCCTCATTTCTTTTCATCGTATGTCTGGTTTAATGATATTACAGAATACAATTATCAAATAGATTCGATGAGCTTATCGATTATCATTAGGATCCTCATATATCTAAAACACTGTCGTAAACTTGCATTGAATTTTACACTCCGGAGATTACAACCTAGTGTTCTTATTTCCATGTCAATTTTTTCTTGGAAAATTTTAATCGCACTGGTAATCACGCTAACGCTCACTGACTGCTGTCGCTGATAATTTTGACTAGTCTATTTTGACGGCTGCGTATATTTTTCGTATAAACGCATACGCTGCAAAAAAGCCGATGGTTCCAGTAAGCAGCCAGAAAGTAAGGACCATCAGGGCGGTATACCCGAAGTACATGAGGGTTGGAACTAATTCCGTGATCTCTAGTTTCGTCATGAAATAAAACATGGAATATGCGAGAACATATACGGCAGATCCTCCACTGACTATGAAACTTCGCCACCACCACCTGTAGTCCTAGAAATGACAGAAGATGCATAGTGGTATTTAAGAAAGAAGAAATTAAAGAAAGAATGGTGAATGGACTCACTTCTCCGCAAAGCTGGAAGTACACCATCACTATAGATATCTGTGAACAGGATATTACAAGGATACAGAAGACCAGAAACAGGAATCCGAAGAGATAGTAAAATTGGTTCTCCCACAAAGCAGTCAGGATGAAGAATAATTCGATGAAAACGGCGCCAAATGGTAAGATTCCAGCCATTAGGGTGCTGTAACATATTCTCATGTATTATAAAACTAGTACACTAGGAGGTGCTTATCCTTGAAGATGAAAAATTTACCATAGAGCAGGATTTAAGTACCACAGCTGCTCCGGTACCTGTCTAGGAATTTGATTCGTCCTTACAGGATGCGTGAATGGTTGCTTTCTATATCCGAAGAAGTATCCCAAATATACAAGAGGCAGTGAAATGCCAAACCAGAGACAAAGAAGTGCTAACATAGTGGTAAACGGAACGGCACCTGAACTATGCTTTCCCCATATGAAGAAGTTCAGGAAGAAACACGTGGTGAATACTATACCAGGATATAATGTTGCCGTCTGGAATTAATGAATTCTTGTCACTGAACAGTAATAACCGAATGAAATTTGATCTGATCCATTCGATATATCAAAAACACAAACCAGAAGAGCTGCTCGCTTCCATTCTCGACCACGCATTGTTTTGTACAATCGTGCTGAAAAATATCCGGCTATGAGACCAGAAAATACGTACAGGAAAATTGCACACGTTCCAAGTGCTCCTCTACTGGCTGGCGATAACATTCCGAGCATAGCAAAGACTAAAATTTGAATTAATATCATTTATAAAAGGATAATGAATCAAAGAACGAGCGCACACATAATATAATTGTGACTTACATATTGTGATCAGTGCCATAAAAAATATCTGTATACCACTACCGATAACGGCAGCGAATAACCTGGAGTTCGTAGGTGGTCGAAAAACATCACCGTGTACTAATTTCCATCCGGTTTCTTCAATGACTTCATCTAATCCAGCTAGACTGTCATTCTCACCAGCGTTATACCTGGCTATGTCTCTCCTCAATGTTCTCACCATGATCATTGTGAGAATCCCTGAAAAAAAATGTAGTGATTTACCCATTTTTTATTTGCATATATTTAATTATTATTCATGCGGATATTTACCCGAAAGGAAGAAAACCACAACGAGAGAGTTTATAATGGAAAACCAGTGAATCTCGACATCGCTCATGGCTAAATAGATATCCCATCTACTTGCCCAGCTCACATCAGATTCAATCCACTGAACCGAATATAAAAATAAGAGGCTAGTACCCTTCTTATTGACAATCTGTGGCTCTAGCTTACTAGGAAGTATACAGGTGTCTCCTTTAAAGCGTAACTGATAGAAATCCACGGAACGTGCTTCCACTTCGAATCCTACCACTCGGAATTGATCTCTATGGATTATAATTTTCAAGAGAACATCATGTAAATGAAAATAGTGAGATTTTCATGCAATAAAATGATTATACTAACTCTCCATGCTTATGGTAGCTTAGAATTAATTTAAGATAATTGTTTATGTAGACTTGATCGTTGATCACACCACCTAATCGATATCCATGATAGACAGTAAAACTATTGGTGTCTTTATGAACTTTCTTTGTTGCTGCTGGTAAATTGTCTATGAGTCTGAAAGTCACAAAATTATAAGAATATTCCTTGTTCAAAGATATAGAATTAGGGTCAACTACAGAAGCTTACAGATGAACAGAGTATTCATGTAGAATGCGTTCAATGACGCGTTGTGAATCCTCTTCAGTCCAATTAATTGAAACTCCTGGTTTATTACACAAAAGACGGCATGCAATGTTTTCTCCCATAGCCACTTCATATGGAGTATTTACAATCCTAAGAATGTAAATAATTAGCACAATTTACATTGAGCATAATGTCTCTATCGCATACCTGTCTCCTCTAAGTACTTCTCCTAAATTCTCAGATTTATAAACAAATGTACCATTCTTTGGCCAACACAATCGTAAGGAGTAATACTCATATGGTAACTGAGTACGAGTGCTGGTCATCTTGACAGCTTTGACATCAATCTTTTGACCTTTCTTGAACTCCACTGGTGCTACACCAGGTACATAGAATGTATTTGCCCCAAGTAGAAAGGACAGCATCACAAGGGCGATACCTCCCCATTTTAATCTCTCCTATATTAAAATTTATAGTTAAAGAAGTGTACAATAAATACACAAATATAGGTCTGAACATAGCAACTTGTCATACTCTACAGCATACTAAATTTTATGCTTCTTGTTATAGGTACTGTTTCTTTGCTGTCATATTTAATTAGAATAAGAGAAGGTGTAGAAGTTTTAGATATACAATTGAAGCATATTAACATGAAAATTCTCGTACTGTTCACGGGTATGAAATATCTCTGTAAAATAGCGATTTTCTATATTGGATAATATCAATGTAAAGCAAACCGTTATAGCACTGAAAATGAGTTGATTAATTAATATGGTGTTAGACACTTCAGCTAGCTTCTATTTATATAAAATCTAGTATGAAAAGTTAAATCTTACCATTCTAAGACGTTATTTTGGCTAAAGGCGCGCCACGCCGACCATTCTACTGTATTGTTAAGGGTAAATCCTCACGAAGGCGTCAATCCTCTTGCGCAAAGAGTTGACCAGGGCAACTGCTGAAATTGGCTGAAACTTACCACAGTGGAAATAATTTCATTAGCTTAGTTTCCACCGTATATAGTTTAAACAAAGTTTAAGAGCCTCATTGGTCAATTCCATTCAACTGTTATACGCGATTAGTTAACTCTGTTTAAACTCTGCACAGTGGAAACAGCCAGTGACTATATTTACACGACGGTCATAGGCGAAAAACACGTAACCTTAAGGTGGTCTACCGTAAGAGGCATTAGTGTTGAAAGAGCGAATCACGTGGTAGCACTGCGCGTGCGCAGTTATCTTTTTCTTGAATACGTACTTGCAGCTTTGTTTGTTATGTGTAATATATACCGTGATTGGAATTGAAAGAAGCAAGAATTACCAAAAAGTGCATCGTGCCTGTCTGAATCACAATGGTAGGAATTTGCATTTGAAAATCTCACAGGAGTTACAAATAAATTCAGTAAAAAAGTTACGATACAAGCAAAAATTGACTGCATACGTTAGTATATTTCCAGTGAAAGATTTTTCATTGGAAATTCTTACACTCAAACCGGAGAGTCTTTTTACAAAGAGAATTGGACCTTGTGGAACCAATTTCATATAGTGATGCAACATAAATTCAACAAGTGCAAATGAGAGAAAATATTTATACTATTGAACTTAGCTACGAAAGAAATTCTACTTGTGCAGATATTTCACTTTTTGTACTTGTCCAGAGATATTTTCATCAAGTTAAAAGTTTTCAGTATATATGCAATTATAGCATCATTCAATTTTTATGACTTTCAGGTGAATTGGTCCATTTAACTTCAGTTTTTTAAATCATCAATTCTTTATTCGTCTAACTTTAAAATCAGATTGTTAAATTTTATTTAATTGGCATCGCATCGGTTTTTTGTATAACTTTCCTTTTGAATCAGAGATAAGAGGTTGCAGTGAATTTACGGATGCGCTTGCGCTGGCATTTTCGACACTAGCGCTTACGGGCAAAATTGTCCACGTTACGGTGCATATGTTTCTAAGCCCATGAAAACTAAGCCCATGTTTCTACCGTGTAGGGTTGAAATAGAGTTAACCATTTAAAAACGAGATTTGAGCGAAATAAGCTAACTTGATTGGTTAACTCTATTTCAACCCTGCACGGTGGATACTAAGCTACTGGCACATCTCCTCATTGGAGGAGGCAGCCATAAGGAAAGGAAGGAAGGAAGATCGTGGTGGAAACTAAGCCTACGACTCCAAAAGTTTCTGATAGTAACATTTGAATATAATCCAATAATTTTCAATTTTAAACATGTTAATTTATTACATTCAGTGCTCATGGCCACTTGTACTGGATATGTTCCAAACTGGTACCAATACATAAAGAAGAGTACATGCAATGCTCATAATAAGCTATTAATGAAAATTTACTTTTAAAAATTGTCTTATTTGAGCATATAGTAAACAAAAACTTTCATGTCAGTTGTCTATTAAATAATTTAGCAGCGAAAACTTTCGTCTACAATTTTCCCTGAATCTTTAATCATCGAAATAATTGATAGTCTTTTATCTAAGCTACTATTTCATACGATATATTGCAGCTGGCACAAGCTCTCTGTAGGAGCAACAACATAAGTAAACAGAGATGGAGAGACAGAGAAAGCGTGTTGAAGGAGTGAGGGAAGGTTATGAGAACATCGAGTAATAGATAGTGATCGGGTGATCTTTCTCATTCTTGTTTAGCTGATGCAGCTTGTTAGTCGGTGCAGAACGTATACGGATATCTATAATATCTACAATTCCTGTGCCAGTTTATGCATTCTCGAATCTCTAATAATCAATTATAATTAATCAGTGCCCTACGCTACTCTGGAAATAATGTCTAAGATAATATTTATGGGCCACTTGTTATTTTTACTACTGACATTCATAGTTGTTTTTAGTTATAATTATACCGACATCGATCTGCCAGAAGATCAGCTCAAATATTATTTCAATTCATTTCCCAAGTTAGCGGAAATGTGTCGCAATGACAGCTCGTGTCCATATAAGGTAAGGAATGTCTATTTGTTAAAAGGTCGCTAAACAACCTACGCAAAATCGTGCACCAATTTAATGCATTGTCCTCTCTCTGTCTTTTTTAATAGTTAAATAGAGTCCCTCTTACCAATCCTTTCATCATGTATAGTATTATTATTGTGTAGACATGTAACTTTTAATAGTAAATTCAGTCTTATATGTTCTTACAGAAATATTTAGATACTAAAGCATGTTGGGGATATGAAGAAGGTTGTAGGAAGGAGGATTCCTATTCCATTCCACATTGTCCTGGAGATCATAAGGGTTGGGTCGCTACAAAAAAGGCTCAACTGGATACATTTTATGCTCAGGGAGATTTTGGTTACATTAAAGATCAAAGAAGAGAGATGATGATTCTGTGCGAGCCTCTTTTCCTTGTGAGTAGTAATAGCTGTTATATTTTTATTCTGATTAATTTGGTTCTTAATCATTCAGGATGATTCATCGTTGGAATGCTCTGAGCATATGAGATTCTGTCGAGGTAGAAACATTATGCTTAATTTCACCGACCTCCTGCATAGAAAGGAACCAATTCGATACAAGATGGATGTCCTGAAGGAGGGACAGATCGGCGGTTATTGCACGTAAGCGAGCGATTCACGAGCATAGTCCTTTGCCTTACACAGATACGTCTTGATACATCTTGGATATACGAGAAATGACGACACGAAATGATCGATCACGTTCAGACTGAACGAGCAGAGGCTGCGGATTCATGGGGATCACTTGAGTCCATTACAATCCTGGGCCCCGGAGATACGAAACTTTGCTCGACTACCTCGTCAACCGATTCCTGCTGGTGACTGCGACGTCATAATTGAGAAACCGACATTCATTATGAAGATTGACGCAAGTACATAAATCTGCAGGTGCAATTGTTTTCTCTTCATTACACGTGATCTGTTAAAGGATTCATCTTTCTGTTGCAGCAGTTAACATGTATCATCACTTTTGCGACTTTTTCAATCTGTATGCGTCACTTCATGTAAATCTCTCACACGACTCTAGCTTCACTACGGATAATCAAATTTTAATTTGGGAGAGTTACAGGTATCTATATTTTTTACCTTTTTGATTATAGAAAAATAATTTGTTCTCTGTTCTGTATTTTCTTTTATTTTTTTACTTTTTTCTGTGCAGTTATCAATCAGCTTTTCAAGATGCTTTCTTAGCATTTACACGTAATCCACTTTGGGATCTGAAAACATTTCGTGGAGAAACTGTATGCTTTAAGAATCTTGTGTTTCCTTTACTTCCTCGTATGATTTTTGGACTTTATTATAACACACCTCTAGTAAGTATAAGTACAGCCGTTAATATTTGTTTATAGGATTTATTGCAACTGAGATTTTCTATTCCCCCCCCAAGATTTATGGCTGTGAGAAGAGTGGACTCTTCAGAGCTTTTGGACATCATATATTACACAGATTACGAATTCCTCTTCATCAAAGAAAAACTCCAAAGATTCGTGTGACTCTTCTCAGTAGAGACACACAGTATAGGCAGATATTGAATGAGGACCAATTAGTCAAGGCTCTACGAGAGATACCTCATTATAAAGTGAAGAAAGTAGTTTACAATAAACATCTGTCCTTTAGAAAACAACTTGAAATTACACGAAATTCGGATATTTTTATTGGTATACATGGTGCTGGTTTAACGCATCTTATGTTTCTACCTGATTGGGCTGCTATTTTTGAACTGTAAGTGTAACTTATAGGTAGATATAGAAAAACAAGTGCTGATAATTTAATTGACTAATTTTTAGATACAATTGCGAAGATCCTAGTTGCTACAAGGACTTGGCTCGATTACGTGGTATTAAATATTTCACGTGGGATAATGCCGAGAAATTAGTACAACAAGATCCGGTAAGGAAAATATTGAATAATAAAATTATCATCTTTTCATCACTTCTCCTACTGCAATTTAATATTTGCTTTTATTTGTTGAAATCAGGGCACACATCCTGATGGAGGTGCTCACGCAAAATTCACCAACTATAGTTTCGATGTTGATGAATTCTTACGGATAGTCATCCTAGCGGAGAAGCACGTGAAGAATCATCACGCTTTCATTGAATTTACTAGAAAAAGGGACGAGGAAGATAATAATGAAGACAAACAGTCATCGACAAATCATTCCCTGACAAAAGACGAGCTTTGATATTATGCACATCTATTTGCTAGATACAGCCAACGAATGATTCTTCTTTCTGCAAGTTACCATAGGAAAATCATCAGAACTTAGTAAATAAATTTCAAAAGTTTTAACGATAAAAGGTCTTGTAACCGGAAACAGTTACCAAACGCTTTTATAAAACTTTATGTACAAAGGTATTTCTTCAGAAATATCAGACTTCATTCCATTAGAATTTTATTTGAATTTTGTATTTATAAAGGACAGTTACGACGAGTAGATTAATAAACATATAAAGGATGAGAATTTGAATCGCCGAAATGTCATTGACATAGAGAGTTTTCGTGATTAAATTCACACCACCAGTCATTAAATTGCCAAGAATAAAGAAAAACAGTCCATTGTAATTCACAGCTTCAAAAACTTCTGGTACATTTCTCACTGGCATCACTTCCATTTTGGAATCGATTTCACTTCTCACATCACTTCCCTTATACTGTCCCCTGTAAGCACTAACAGTTGCGCCAACTAAAATGTCTATAAACACGTCTACTAGAATAAGAAAACTTAGCATAGCTACACCAAGAGTAAGGATCCAGACACAATATCCAGAATTTGCAAGGCGTCGGGACACTTGGAAATATGAATCGCACAGTAGCAGTGCTGTACATGCTTGAATAGTGAATACTGATAGCTTAATACAGAGAACCATAGAATTATTAATAGCAAATTCTATGTTGAAACCAAAAACTTTAACAGAAAGGTCAACTGAATCGTTGGAATTCCGCTTATAAGTGGAGTGAATGATTCTACCCACAGCAATTCCAAAAAAGTATAATGCAACATAGCCAGGAATGGCCAACAATCCTTCTCGATTTGCTGAGAAGAAGTTATTCCTAGGACCATCACTCAGTATCCAAATTTTCAATTCTTTCCCACTTAATGCATACTCATGCATTGTCAATACCAAAATACCAGTAAGTAAGGAGTATTGTGCACTAACTATGCTTGATATTATACTGACTAATATTCGCACTAATGCAAGTGTCCCAAAAAAATTCCAATGTATACCATATTCAGACACATGTCTCTGATAGCCAATTAGTTCAACAGCAAGATATCTTCCATAAGCAAGAATTAAAAGAGCAGCTGATCCCTTAACAGATTGTTGAAGATTTCTTCGAAGAGTCTTGTAAACACTTTCTGATGCTCTGTATACTTGAACATTTCTTGCTTCAGGATCAACTAATGCATTAGCTAGCATAAATAATCCAACACCAGTATCCATCAAACTGTAACCATAAATTTCTGTCTTTACAAATCTACGTGGGAATATTTTGAAGTCCACTGCAAGGATACAAGCTATCGATATAACATTAGTCACTGATCGAAAATTTGTAATAAAAGGATGTCTTCTGCTGTTCAAAGGTTTCAAATTCCCTTTGAAGATTCCAAATGTATTAAAATTCATGGCCATGAGAATCACGTTGCCAATAGATAAAAGTATCATTGCTGAAGAAACTGATATTGCATGCTCCGACAAGATAGTACAGCATAAAACACATGGTACAATGACAAGTAATAACTCTAACAGAATTCTCAGGTATTGATTCAAATATTTTCCAATTAATCCCATACTCGTAGCCACCAGAATAATGCTGCATATGTTGGGTAAAATCACCAACACGATATCGCGTGGATTCGAACCCACATGATTCGAAACGAATTCTTCTTGTTCCCGGCGATAAAAGAATTGTTCCTTGAGTTGTTCCTCCATATCTTCATAATTGGAGTTCATGGTGTATAATCAAATGATTGTTCTCATTTATGAAACAATGAACTATTAGTTATTACAATTCTAAACTATTAGATTCATCAATAGTGTCTTTCACAGTAATTACTGTTTGAATGATTTAAGTTACTTACTAACAAGTGTCAGTCACTCAACACTTGCAATAGGTATTATTTTTAACGTTTTTATATTCACAGAACAATGTTATTTTTCTTAATAGACGACACGTTTATAGTTTCGGATATTTAAAAGCACAACAATGCAACGGTATAATGTGATTACTGTTATACTCCAAATCAGTTTTTCTTATCTTTTTGTGTCCTACTTCAGATTCAACTTTGCACATGTTCTGCGATTAGCCGATTGCATCAGGGGGGTGACACTCCAAATGGGCTAAAGTGAAACATAGATTAGTGATATAACCTACCGATAAGATGGCATTGCTGCTGGTGCTAACAGTCTATAGCACGGGAGTGCCGTGTCTCCAATAAGTGGTCTGTGTTCTATGCTGTCACGTGATAAAATGTGATATACATACGTTAAACGTCAAAAAATGCTAATAACAACCAGTAGCCAATTAAGTTTGAAAAAGATTATAGTTCGTTAATATCATTTATCGTACTCTCTTGAACGAAAAAAAGAATTTAGATTATACAGATTTAAAATGTCAACAACCTTTCAAATGCAAGTACATTCATCTTTGGCTAATAAAATAAAGTACCTAGCTGAATTAAAAAAAATGATTGCTAGACCTCTCACACAGTGTAAGTAAAGAACACTATTATTATTATAATGAAATCTGATTCTAGAATTGCTTTGACAAGTGTTAACGTGTTGTTACAGTGGCTGTAAAAGCTATTGAACAGGAACACATTGAGCCTGGTATTCTGGAGAGAATTAGTGAAAAATATAACGTTCCTCAAGAAAATGTTGATGAGTGGTATGCTGCAATCTTAACAATCCTAAGATTACATTTACGATCAACAGCAGGATCTGTAAAACCCACAGAATTTAAACAGTGTCTTCAAGAATTAAAGTAAGTAAAACTATTATAAATAAGCATTAAACATTCATATTTGGTGAATATTATTTCTAAGGAGGTATTCTTTAGATTGGCCCCTGAATGTATAGAAGATCTCTCTACTGTTGTGTATGGACAAAGAAGACCAGTGTTAATTCATGGTTTGATCAATGATACCAACTTTTATCCTAGATTAAAATCTTGCAAATGGCGTGTTGATATCACCATTTCTTCAAGGTATACACTTACATAAATACTTTAACAATGATATTATTAAAGTACAACATTAACATAAGAATTTTTTCATTTTGCAGCGTTTTATCTCGAGTACTTGAACCAAGTATTCTGATGGAATGGACTTTGAATACCGGAGAACGTCACATTTTTGAGCTCTCTTTAGCACGATTTCATCAACTGAGACATACAGTTGCAAGTTTACTGTTAGAAATGCAATCCATGGAAAATTGTGGTCTTCTGAAAAGTGTTCAGACTAGTTAGCAGAGTTTCTGTATGTACCCTGAACACCTTACTACTACTTAAGTGCCATGCAAATATAATTCTTCATTGTGCAATAGTATATAACTTCTATAGATTCCTTTATACCATAAAAAGTTATATCTGAATGATTAACAAAGATCTGTAGTGGTTGGATAAATTCTTTTTTATATAAATCACATAGAGTGCATGGCCCAATCATTGGCCATCTGCCAGTAATTGTCACAGTGTGCTTTGACTATAGCAAAATATATAGTATTATAACACAACAGATGATAATTGGTACATGGCTGATGACTGGGCCATCCACCTTATGTTAATTTTGAGCAAAAAATGTTGTACTTTTCATTGCCAGCTCCATACTAAATATTTTGTTTAATCTAATATTAATGACTGCTGCTATCACTATTAGAAAAATCACTCTCGTTGTTGGGACTCACTCTTGGTGAATGCATAGTGTTTCTTTTTTTTCTTAATGGTAACATCTCATTCTAAAAGTCATTTGAATTTTTATTATGAAAGTATCGATTTTCTTATCAATGTCGCAATTTATTAAATTAAGAAATATATGAGAAGTGCTAACTTGATAATATTTTTCCCAAAAAACACTTAGTGCAGTCTTATGTGCATTGGCTTGTTCACGCAAATTTGATAAACAGTACTTATCTACTCCACATTTTGAAATAAGCCCAGCCAATACAGCACAATCAAGCTTTTCTTTCAATTCAACAACCAGAATACGTTTATCATTTTCAATTGGATAATACCGGCACAAATGTTCAACTATTAATGAGAAATCAACATATAATCGTCTGGTCTGCAACTGCTTAATAGAATCATAAATCATTTGAGGTGTTATAGGGACACTGATTCTTCTTTCTGAAAATACTTGATATATAGTTATTTCATCCATCATATAAGAGTAACTAATTAAAAGCAATATTTTGAATGCCATACCCAGTGTAGAAATATCTTTTCCTTTACTTGTTGATCTCTTAGATTTACGTTCCTTATTACGAATTCTTTCACGTGGAGAATTCGAACGGGATCGTTCAATCTCTTCTGCATAACAAACGGACCTTCATTAACGTATAATTAAAAGCTATTATTACTGTGTATATTACTTAATCTAGGAGCCCCAGTATTATCCATATTCTTCAGGAAGTATATGAACAGTTTTAAGATTAATCAAAGAAATTTTGTTAATAATTAAGAATGGGGTTACATTATTTGGAAATTGTTGATAATTTTGATTGCAAACAAACAAATGATTGCGCGAACTTTTTGTTGGTAACTTATCGACAGGATCGTATTTTCTTCTGTGAATGGAAAGGAACATAAATTGTTCTTAAGACTAAGACGCCTTCTGATTGGTCAAATCCTGGTGTCCTGGAATGCAGGAAGAGGCCGTCGAACGCACCGTGAATATTTTGACGTTGCAAAAGAAACGCGTGGGGGCC